AGCTGAAGCTATGCCTCAGCCACCCCAAACAGCCAAGGGGTTCCTAACTTTCAATCAACAGCTTTTTCCCCTCCGTTCACATTAAGCGCAGAGAAAGGAGGAATAGAACCAAACTAAATAATTTTGTTTTCAAAACTAATGCATATATATTACAATGATTTTCTGAGAGTGTGTGTATGCCACCTAATTGAGGATTTTTTTAAAGAAAACCCAGAGAGACAGTGCAAGTCAGCATATGGATTTGGCAGGAAATCACCTATTTTATAGTGTTGCATGCTCTCAGGCTTGAATCCTTAGAAGAAGTTGAACTGATGTAATGAGCAGGGACTTCTTGGGATACACCTTTACTGGTCTCACTTTCTGTAGAGCTGGCAGGGATGATACCTGTGATAGAGCCCATTCTGTCTATCACTTTTCTAACTCTGACCCTATTTCTGCAGTTTTCTCCATAGCCACATCCTACCTCAGAAGAAGGATTTGTCCCCATTTTCAGTGATGTAGGAGTTTCTTGCAGACTCTCAGTGTCAAGATGACAGCCACACTATGTGGAACAGCATCACACGGGAGCACAGCACGCAACTGACAGTCACCACGCTGCCTCAACTCCACTTGCACTCTGAGCCCCATCCCACCCTGAGGAGATGGCTTCATCACCCACTACCTGCTTCTCCTTCCTGGAAAGCCCAAGGAATGACTTAATGCATGGAGAGGTGGACCTGTTCTCAAAATGAAACCAATGGAGAGAGCCAACAGGGAATGATATTGCTGCTGGATCTGGAAAAGATATAATCTGCCTCATGCCACAAAAGCACATCAGTGGAATGGATTGTTTAGAGCATCTTCTGAAGAAACTTCTGGATCAAATGGAAGACATGCTATGCTGTTTCCCTATTCTTCTCATATGTTCTGGATTCCTTCCAGTCATTACTTACCTTCCCTGCTTCTGTATCTTGTGCCAAAAACTGATGTCTCCCTTCTTGTGGGTGGCAATAAACAGCCTCTCATCCCACTTGGCAGTTTTGCAGGAAGCCAAAGGCCATTCTCCTCTGCCCTTGGTCAGTCCAGAAAGCAGGCCTATTCTCTCCCCTCCCCCTATAGCTGTGAGTGCAAACACCCCCGTTACGGGTACCTGCTATAACCCAAACATGAGTGTCGCCCAGACTGCCTGATCCCATGGGTGGTGGTGGAGAACCACAGGAAATTCCCTGGCAACGGTGCCTGGGGATTAGGAGATGCTCTGACCTCCACACAGCAGCCACCAGCCCTAGCAGTGCCTACAGGAAGGTGTAATGCTGCTGACAGATCCAGCTTAAGCTTCAGAGAGATGGCCGACCTCTTGCAAACACTCTCCTGACGAGGGGACTGGGAAGGGGTAGGAAAAGGAAATCTCCGCAGCATCCTGCAATTCTAGATAGCACAGATTTGCTGTAGGGACAGGCACAACAAGAGCAGTCAGAGGTGGCCAAGCTGATTAACAGCCACCTGCCCACACCCCAGGCTGCTAACCCTTGAAAGACTTATCTTTGACAGCCTTTTACAAACATGAAGTCCCCACTTTATTGACATCCTTATCTCAATGCACGAGATAAGAGAAGCTGGGACAGAGAAAAAAAACAGGAGGACTCACCAGGAGAATCACAGTTAGAAACTCCGAGCTCCTGCAAAGAGACCATTAGCTCCTCTTCTCCTTTAACACTGAATTATTGCAAATATCCAGAGTCCTTGCATTCTAGGTGACCAGTTACACTGTGCCTTGTCACAAGTGGACAAGTCATACTGCACCTCCCCTGGGAAGGATGGCTGACCCCTTCAGAGTCCCCTTCTCCCCCATGTTTGTAAGAAGCCTGAGATAAACAGTAACAATAATTTTTTTAAAAGTTTTTAACAAAATCACCAAGTGTTTCTGCTTTGCGTTTTCATATTTTAATCTCTCTCCTTGTAATATACTCCACCATAAAGTTCGGTGGTCCATAGAAAACTTCAGCAAAATCAGAAAACTCAGGACCTACAATTTCCACATGTGTATACACAGAGGCACCAAAAACCCACAGGCAAAAAAAATACAGTCAGAAGGAAAAATATAAAATGGAATCTTTCTCAGGCCTTCTTCAACATAACACCAAGAATCAGTGAAGAAACACAATCCAATTTGTTTTCCCCTGGTGCTGTTCACCTTTAACAGAAAAGTGACTCTGTACAACACCTGCCCTGTCTCCAGTTTTCATAAGCAGCACGTAGAGCGTCGGTGACCTCAGCAGTTGCATGCTGTGACAATACATAAAGTTAGAAGCCTGCCCAAAACACTTCTGAGCCCTTTGGCCAACATTGGCTGGGAACACACATACGGTCACAACCAAGCGAGGGAGAAAACACAAGGTTTGGGAAGCTTGAGAAAGAGCCTGAGAAAGCTTCGTCGTATGGCCTCCACTCAGAAACGCTGACGTAGGTGCAATTTCTGATAGGTAAATAAAAAGATGCAAAGGCTGCTCTTCTCAGCCCTGTGGGTTAGTCTGTTGGCCTGCAACACAACCGGCTCCGAGGTGGGGAGCAAGCCCCGGCTCTGGAGCTCCTGCCTGCGTCACCAGTTCCAGCTGAGAACAACAACCACCTGCTCCGGTCTGTAATACCCTTTGTAGGTGATTATGGGAAACAAAAAGGACTAAATTCAAAGCAGGTTTTCAACTGGGGAGGGAGATCCAAAACTGCTGACTGAGGAGGAGAACAAAGCCAGATGGCATATGCGGGTATTGTTAGGGATTATGCAGTGTAAGGCAATAGGAAATGAGCAGAGAAAAAGACCCGTTTTGGTCCCATGGCTCCTCTCTTGCCAAATGAACATACCGGGGCGACCGTGAAACAATCAGTTTATGGGTTTCATTCCCCTCCACCCCCAGACTGAACTTAAATATTTGTATAAGCCCAGGCGTAACTTTTATCTAATGTTTTCCTTGGGGTTTACTAGCTGTTTAGAGCATTCAGGCTAAAAAGCATTCCCTCAAACTCTCGCCACAAAAAGAGCTGAAACTATGATACTAATTAAAACCACACTCTTTGGTATCAAGAAGACATGCTATTATTTTCTTTTTTTGCTCATGAGAAGCTGCTAATACGGGCAATGCGTCTGGAATATTTTCCTTCCAAACGCCATGCTCCGTACCCCCTCCTGCTCAGGTCGGCTGGTTTATGAACTTGTCAGCAGTCTGGGGTGGGAAGGCTCATATTTACAAGAATAGATTTGATTTTTTTTTTTTTAATAACACACCATTGCCAAATTAACATTATGAAAAGCACGTCAAGAAAAAAAAATAGCTTTACGCTGCGTGAAAGGTAGCAAGCTACAGAACTGTCTTGCCTTGGTGCCCAATGGGCCAAATCAAGGGATGAATTTTGCCAAAATATACTGTATGTTTTGAAAAACAGCCTGTGACTTTGCCAGGACGCTCCTGGACACTCAGTGCAGACCAGGAAAGGATGTGGGTTGCACTGTGCACTATCACTGATCCACCCTGGGGTAAGGTATATGAAAGAAAAAGGTAAGATTTCATGCTCATTTTACCCCTTCTAATTTGGGTGCATCTAAGGTCCCCATTACTGTGTTATCAGCACCTCATAAACATTATTATCAAAATCAGTCTTATAATGTTTCAGGGAAAAAAAATATTACCGCATTTAAAGGATGGAAAATTAAGGGGAAAAAACCCACCAAGGGCCAGGTTTGGGTTAAGTGCCATATTCAAAACCATCCATGTATATACTGAGACATCTGCTTAAAACACAAATTTCCTTGTCCAAGATCAAACAGCGGTGCCTCATTCAGAGCAGTAATTGCACCACAGAGGTGCAGGGAGCAGAGAGAACCAGCTGCTGTGGTCCAGTCCTCCCAGAGCACCAACTTCCAAGACCCACCGACTTCGAGCAGCGTCCTGGATGCTGCCGGCTCCGCAGTGAGTCAGGCAAGCTGCCACGGCCAGCGGCTGCTGCGAAAGATCTGGGCTTGGTCCCGCCAGAAGCATCTGCACTGCTTGCGAGGAAAACAACAGTGGCAAGAGGGACCCTCCGTGAAAGGCACTTGTCCCGCCAGTGTCACTCTTGGGACCACAAAAGTAAATAATGTTTCATGAGAGCAATTTGGTTTCTGGTTTCTGTTTGGGAGCGTGGCTTTGGCTGTGTTGACTCCAAACAAAACTCAGCTTCCCTTTTTCACAGCCACAAAGATGCCAGATTTCAATTCCCGGAGGTGCAAAGTGCGGGCAGTGGAGGAGGTGGCCTTTTCAGGGCTGAGATATGTTATTCTATATTTATATTTTGGTGATATTTTAGCTTTGAGCAAGCTCCTGCCTGATTAGCAAGCTTCTGGGTTTGCCAACAATACAGAAGAACTGCCTGAGTTACAAAAACAAGTTAATACATAAAAAATATGACTTCAGCAAAGAAGTTAAGCTAGCTGGGTGAACACGCTGTAATTTGTTACATGCTCCCATTGTGCGGGGATCCAAAGTAATAAAATATTCCTGTAATGCTAGAACCGTGAGGCCCAGCCCCAGTACGGTGTTGGGATTCCAGCATTAGCCCTGCCGCTCCATCCCCTGGCTCACCACTGGAATGGTGATGCCTACCTCCCCAGCACAGTGTCCCACCTGCCCTTTCATTTTGAATTTCACTCCGAAGAAAGATCAGGTAGGAAGGTTATTGCGGAGGTGGCTGCAACGCTGGGCTGCCGAGATGGCTATGCTTCTACGACACCTCACGGCAACTGAACGCAACCGTAAACATGAGCCCGTCCGCATCCAAAGTGTCGTCAGAGAATCCCAGGGCTCGCTGCAGAGCTCCAATTTATGGACGTGGTGGGGGGCTCAGGAGGGAACGGGCTGCCTCACAAACCCCTCCATCCTGCTTTTCATTTGAGGCTGACAGGCGAAGCTCGAACACATCATTACAGCCTTCAGGAGGCTGCTAAAGGTAACACTCATGTTACAAACGAATTAATAGGAAACACTTACCTTCCCCACTAGCTTGCCTTTCCTGTTCATGCAAAGGTAGAAGTCTGTCTCCTTCCCTTTGATCCGGACTTGACTGCCAAAAGTGTCTGTTTCCACTAGAAGCTGGGCTTGTAAAGGAAGAAGAAAAAAAAGCGTTTACCAATGTGGTCCAACAAAGTCAGAGCGCGCAAAGCTCATCAGCGCGTTGTCCTCTACCTGAACCACGGCGCACTGGGATGCTCTGCAAGGGAACAAGCCAAGGGACCACCCGGGGCTGAGCTCCAGACTCGCCCACAGGTGCAGATCTGGCGCATCTGCACTGACTCCTGTGCGGACGCTCCAGATTTAATGCCAGTTTATCATGACATGCGCATCTATGTGTGTGTGCTCCTTCAGCCCACACAACCCCACCACCCCATCAGCAGTATAAAGCTAGATGCTCTCCTTCAGGCTGCAGGAGGGTTCTCAGGGTGTAAGACCGCGGACTTTATTCTCCTGAAAAATAAATATTAGCATGACAAGAAAGAAAAACCTTTCCCCACTGCCAGCAGCCCTCAAACACTTCACAGAAGTGATCCAGCCACACGCCCATGGTGGAAAACATTGCAGTGATCTCCTGAAGATCACCACAACAGGTAGCAGGGGAGAAATCTGTCACTGCTCGTTCTCTCTGGTGAATGCCCTGCACGTCCTCTGTGTGTCTAGCCACGGTCCCAGGAGGTCACTAACTGCTTTCTGGCAGTCCAGGTCCGTGACTACTCCTCTAGCCGGGAGAAATATGGCCAACCTCATAGTGCCTCACACGTTTATGGAGGCCAGAGCTGGTTTGCAGCATTACCAGGAGTTAGAGGACAGATTTCTGCTGCATCTCCATAAACCACCTGCCCCAACAAAATTGTATTTGCAGAAGTGGTTGAGCTCCCACCCAGATGGGTGGCATGCCATCATCATCTCAAAAACCTAGACACGTCCAAATTCAGCCTTTTATTCCATCTCTGGTCTAAACACGAATTCCAGTCATGCTCAAGGTTCAGATTCCAGGAATATCCCTGGAGAGGCAGGAACAGGCAGGCTGGACATTTTGGTTCATATCCATCTCCGATATGGAGGGGGAGAAAGGAGACATGGTCGAAACACAGCGCAAGAATGTGTAAGTGTCAGCAAGTGCAAATCCACGGTCCTGCTCTGGAAATACTCACGCTTGTAAGACCCGAGCCTTACCGTAGAAACACGGCTTTTGCCAAACTCTGGAGAATGTTTGATCTGTGCTGCAAAAAGTCACATTCTTTTTGGCATTCATATTTCAAACTTTAAAACCCTCTAAGAGCAAATATGCTCGCTGTAAGGCTTTACCATGGGGATAGAAATAGGAGTTTGTTTCATTTAAACACATTAATACTTTTCCCACTTGTAAAGTCAGCTTTTGGCTTCTGCAGCAGTGCAAATATCACAAAATGTTAACTCACAAAGGCCCTAAACGGAGTTTTCCCTTTGCAGCTCAGTCACATATGCAAGTTGAGGGCTTTCCATTAGATATATTTGTTAAACCTGTGATCAATGGGATATTTAAAAAATAGCTTATTTCTGACAGCAAGTGCGATAAAGCCTGTATTATAGCAGAATATTACTTGCAATCATGCATAAACATGGTTATTTATCTAAGTCTTTCTGAAAGGCACTATATTTTGGGGTACCTTCATGGAAAGCAGCTTACCAGCGACAGCCGGGTGCTGCAGGCTTTCCCCGCACACCTTGCCAAGGTGGTATCAAAGCAGTGACTACCCACACACTTCAGTGAGGAAGGGCCACACGAACCAGAAACAACTCATTGTAGCAAGGATATGAAGATGAGCAAAGCCAGGATGGGGCAGGGTGGCACAGGGTCAAAGATGGGTCTTCAAGACGATGAGCAACATGGAATGTAACTTGGTGACTGCCCACTGCTTCAAGAAGACCAGGGAGGGCGCTCAGATGCAACACAGCATTAACGAACCGGGGAGTAGCCAGAGGTAAGGCTATCTTTAAAGGGGTGGCTGTGAAAGGTCTCCCCCTCAAATGAACAAGGACATTAAGAGGACTAATGTTCGACCTCAGGTGGGGACAGCAGCAGCCCACGCGAGGGAAGGCCATGGAGTCAGCACAAGAGATCCCAAAGACTGGCCCAAGAAGCACGGCATACACCTAGAGCACCAAAGAGTTGCTCAGAGATCTACAGTGTCGAACCCACCCAGGCAGACGGACCCAGGGCCACCCACCAAAGGGGTCAAGCAAGGGCTCCACGGCTTGCACACAAGCAAGAACAGGACACAGCCAGTTCCCATCTAAGCTGCAAGGCATACCCTGTCCGTTCCAGTCTCAGGGCTGCAATTAAAGCTGCTAAGAATAATGCTGAATGTCAGATAGAGGGTTTGGCCAGCCAAAGTAGGAGCTAACGTCGATAAAGCACTCCAACACAAGAGCCTTGACCCGCAGTCCTGCCAGCCAGTCGGCAACCCACACCACTCCAACGCAGGTCTCCCTGGCAGACTGCACTCGGATGGAGAAACACAGGGCATGCCGGCTCGTGTTCCCCACCCCCTCGCTCTGCAGCCAGTATGAGTAATATCCAAGCTGATTTTAATTTGAAAAATATCACCTTAAAAAGATGCCGGTTCCCTGCTGTGAAAATTAAAACCATCTGGATGGAGTGATTTCAAATAATTAATCTAGGTCTCCTTTGACACTGCTACTAATTAAAATATGATACCTTCCTCCCCCTTTTTAAATAAAGAATTTAAATAAAGTTTAAAGATCTAATAAAATAATGTCATAATTTAGAATTAAATGGAAGTCACCTTTCCTGCAGGCTGCAAAGGTTACACCAGTGCTGAGATCCCTCCTGGGCTAGTGCCACAGCACAGGCCGAGCAGCAGCAGATGGGCAAGCACCCAGCGTGACACCCACACCACTAAATACACCAGCATACGTTCCCCAGTGCCCCAAGGAGGATCTCGAGCCCAAAGATCCAAGGAGTATCATCCTGCACCCAAAGTCTAGGAGCAGGCAGCAGAGGGAAGGAGGTTCAGTAGTGGCTGTCTGCTCCCTGCTGCGATCCTAACTGCTGAAGCACAGGCTAAGGCCACCCATAAGTACCCAATTCTGAAAAAATCTGGGTCTTATGATGTTGGAAACATTTTTATTCTGGGGATCTTTGATCTCTTTTCCTACAAGATGATCTCCCCTGTGCGGCTTTAGGGTTGGATTCATAACCCAGTTGGCTTCCAGCCTAAGGCATCCCTTACAGTTGATTCTCCTTTTCACAACAGATATCTGCCTAAATTCTCTCAGAAGCCAAGGCAGGGATCTTGGACAACACATCTAGTCAGCTATGATCAGCTGGGATGAAGCCCAGCCCTGAAGCCTACAACAAGAGTTTCTGGGGGATGGAGGCTGGCCCAGCAGATTGGGGTGCTGAGATCTCCCACTCCACTCACATGCAGCAGAAGAGCTCAGCCACCACCAACAAGATTTAAATCAATGTAAACTGGACTCAGCTTGCTGTCTTGTTTCTATGATAAAGATGCCACGGCCACAGCAAAAGTGCTAGACAAGTCCAAGAGAATTTCCATTGAGAGCGCAGGTAAGCTAAAGTCCCGCCAAGTTGGAACGTCATCCCCATGGCAGTCTGCTGCTCGGGACACCTGCCCTCCAGCTCCATTAGTCCCTGGATACACCATAAAGAGATTACAATCTTTATCTTCAAAAGCTCAGCACTCTAGCCTTCAGATCAGGTATTATTGTTTAAATTCTTTGACAGCTAGATATTCTGATATATTTTCCGGGGAGGAGGGGGAAAGAGCTAAAGAGAAAAGATGTCTTTAGAGGGTGAGATCTTCTGCTACATGCTTTTGCCTTATTGGCCCATTTAACCTAAACCTTCCTGAAAACTCCCACTGGAAGAGATTGGAATTCCTCACATGTCTAGGTGAAAAGGATTACATATATATGTTGAAAAGCTATCTTCCAGCTAAGAAAACATGAAGTCAGGGAGATATGTGAAGGTGGCAGAAAATATGCCAAATTATCTTTCAAATATTTCCTGGGAGAGGGAGAGCAGGAGCCAGAAAAGCACGGGGAAAGAAAGGAGAAAGCGGGCACCTGAGCAGTGTGAGGTTCACATGTACCTATCACAAATGTCTGAGCACCAGCCAGTTTCAGAGAAATAAAGAGATGAAGGAAAAAACACAATGAAGGTGCAGGTGGCCTGGATACTTTGAGTCTATCTACCATTGCTTTTTCGTTTTTTAAGGTATAAATCCTGCAAAAGGAACCACAGAGAAAAAGAAACTACAGCTGCTTATGCTGCCCACGAGCATCTTGGAGCTGATCTGCTAAAACAGATTTCTGGGGAACAGTCTCTCAGAGGGAACTGAGATTTTGTTGCTTTTGTTGCATTCATGCAACTACAAAGTCAGGGAAACCATTCTTGGCACTTGAAACCAACTCCAGTTAATGAAGAGGAAGGATGTACAGATATGCCGAGGCTGGGACCATTAGCATCTGTGATGGAGAGTGGCTTTCCAGCTTAGTAACTCCATTGCAATGAACCGAGACAAAGAGCATTTCCATAGTTCACAGCATATATCACATCTGATGGGAGAGTAAAATTTACTCTCTGGCAAAACAGAATCTTCCAGTGTGAACCCCGGCATGGCCAAGGGTGCTTAAAATAGTTGAAACCTGTTCAAATACTGCCTACACCCTACCACAGCCACGTGACTCCTTTACATGACCACAGCATAGGCGAGAATGACCTTGTCTCCACCTCATATCCATGACATAATGACGAGGGAATAACGCCAAAATTAGGTAAAGTCTGAAGGGTCTAATAAAGCCCAGAGGCTATGAACTAGTGATGGAATCTAAGCTGCATCTTCAAGTTTTGTTTGCACACTTGTATATTCCTCCAAGCTGTATCATTTTAAGTAGCTATAAGCCACCCAACCCAACTCCCTTCTCAATTATTCAGGTCCAGTTCAGGACTAACCACCGAAATCAGTAAGGCTGGTGCTCAGGAGGGCAGAGCTCTGACCCACATGCCACTGCAATTAGCTCATCAAGTGTGTCTTGAGTGAGTATAGGATATGTA